TGATTCTTAATCCACACTGGGTCCAAAAGGCTGCCTCTTGGCACCTGTCAAAGCTACTTCTAGACACTGTTATTCAAGACCTAATTTCTCATTCTTTATTCTAGTCTTGCTCTGGACAGGATGACCCCTATTTACTTCACGCAGCTATCTACAATACTGGATTTTTTTTTTAAAGATTTTATTGGGGAATTGGGGGGAGGGGAACAGACAGGTAGACAAATTGCTGTTTTTGTTCTTCAGTCTGGTTGTGGAGGATGTCGCTTCACTGGCCCATGTTGGTATGATCATTGTGCTCTTCCTGGGTGAGGCAATCGGTCGCCCGTGATTGGGTCTCTCAGCAGCTCCCACCGGCTGCCAGACGCTCACGCTGGCTGCCGGCCATACATGGTAGCTTATGGCAGCCCACTGGAGCCCTGCTGCAGCCTATGCCATCACCTGCAACTCACAGCAGTCCAGCTCCAGGTCAAGCTGTTGTTCACCATCTTAGCTGTAGAGGGCGAGCGTTACTGGCCCTCAAGTGGGATCAGAACTGCAGCCCTGCTGCTCAGGGCTGGCGCTCCCAAGGGAACTCTTAACCAGCTGAGCCACTTGGCCGGCCCTGGATTTTTTTTTACATGGCACAATATCATGTACTTTCTATAAAAATGATTGCATGAAACAGTACACATTTGCATAAACTATAAAAACAGAATGATTGTCAATACTGAATGACTTCTGAACTCAGTTTTTGTTGTTCATTTAATCTCAAACACTGAGTATACTCCAGTAGCTCAGAAGTCGCCATTGGGACACCTTACTCTACTGAAAAGGCGATCGTCCCTCACCTTCAGGACTTCACATCGAGGCACTGACACACCCTACAGGGAATCAGCTCCCTGAACTCCCATTCCCAGCCTGATTTCCCGCAGTCAGCAACGCCCCCTGGTGGCCTCAGACGGATATGAGCAGGAGGCAGGGAGCTGCGTGCAGGTGTTAGCCGGACGCGTAGCCTGGTACTGAGTCAGGACTGGAACTTGGAGAGTCGAGTGCGGGACGCAGCAACTCCAGCCCTGGACAGAAGTTGGGGACAAGGCGACGGGAGGCGGGGGAACCGGCGGTCGCGGGAAATCCAAGACCTGAGTCTGTGCGTGAAACGGGCTAGTGGGCCAGGGTAAGGCAGATTCCTCAGCAGAATTAGCTTTAAAGGGCTTCTGGAAGGAAGGGATCAGCAGAAGGCCCAGAGCTGGAGACCCTTCTCTCTGCGCCCAGACCCTCTCTGTCCAGTAACTGGCCTGGCACCCAAACTTTTATCGTTGCCCTTCACAAGCCTGGCCAATCGGTGGTCGAGGTTCCAGGCGCATCACAATGGAACCCACCGGTCCCCATCCCCCATCTTGACTCCATCCGTTGAAGACTCTAGAACTCCCCCGTCCTTGCCTCTGCCTCTAAGAGACCTATTCCACCACAATCTTTCCCCTCCCAGTTTCTGCCTCCGTGTCCCCGCCCTGCCTGCTCTCTCTCCCGTGCTGAATAGGGAGATGTCCCACATTTTCCGGAGAAGTTGCAGCGGCTCAGTGACTGGCAAATGTTACGATGTCAGGTGGAAGAGGAAATCCCCAAATCCGGGGTCCCGATAGCCGCGCTTCCTCCCGAGGCCGGCTGATTTAGAGAGTCCGGGGCGCAAGATCGAGACTGAGTAGAGAAGCCAAGCGGAAGAGCATCCTGGAATCGCCAGAAGGCCTGAGAGACCCCTCCTGGTCCCGGGACCCTGACCCCGCCAGTTCCCAAGCTCCGCCAAAAATGCAAAAGCGGTTTCCATGGTGACGGTAAACAAGCCTCCGTTCAGCCATGCCCCCCACCCTCATTCGAGTTAATGAAGTAACCCAGAATGACAACTCAGATGCTCAGATGGGAGGAACTGAACCATCGAGAAAGGGAGCACTTGACGGCGAGTCCCTGATATCAGCGGCTTGGGGTTCAGGACTCCGAGACCTCAGGCTCTGTTGGGAGGGGCAACAGACACCCGGAATGGGCAGCAGGTACTGGAAGGACAGGAATCAGGCTTCAAGGACCAGTGCAGATGGAGCCCAGAAGTGCACGTGGCTCGACGCAACACAGCTGTGGAAGGTGCCAGGGCCTCAAACCAAGCAAGACCTCCTGGTCGTAGCATTTTCCTAAAAAAAATTGGGGCCTGGCCAGAAAGGGCGCTCCTGCAGGAAGAGGAGTGAGAGCAGAGGGCAGAGAACTCCTGAGAGGAACAGGGTCACGGAGACTCAAGCACTGGAGAAGGTCGTCAGAAAGAGCTGTTAAATGTTTCATTGTTAAATGTTAACTTTAAATTAAGTTATACATTCACATCGTTTAAAGCGTTAAATCTTTTAGAATTCTTACTTTTTTTATTTTTATAAAACAGCGCTTTTATACCCATCATCTAATTTCTTTTCCTACATACAGAACACCCTTTCCTTGGTACTTGTTTTTTATGTAAATGTTTTCTCTCTGACTACTGCTACCTATATTTCACCTCCTCTGTCACCCTGTCCTCTTTGGGGCCCTGGGAGCTGGACATTTGTCTCCTATTGTAGAAACGATGGCTTCCTTAAGTTCATTAAATGTTGCCCATTTTTAATCACGTTTTTAGGTAAAATTTTGTTTTATTTTTCTTTTCTTTTTTTTGTTTGTTGATTTTTTTATTGTAAAATAAACATTTTTTAAGTTAGTTTCAGCTGTACAACAGAGTGCAATAGTTATACTTTTTACCTCTCAAAGTGACAACCCCCTCCCCCAATCCGCCACCCACTTCCCTCCCCATATCATACATATCTATTACAATTCCCTTGACTCCACTCCCACACTATAGTCCACGTCCTGAGACTATATATATATATATATANAATACCAATATGGGCCAGTGAAGCAACGTCCTCCACAACTAGACTAAAGAACAAAACGACAGCAACTTGTCTGTTCCCCTTCCCCCGACTGCCCAGCGCTGTTCCCCTCCCTGAATTCCCCAATAAAATCTTTAAAAAAATAAAAAAAAAGAATTTTATCTACACTTTTTCCAAGAATTTCTCTTTTAGTGGAAGACAAAGGCCTCAGTCCTTGGCAGCCATACTAGAACCCTGCTCCCTCAACACTCCTCTGCAGCACTGCACACACCCCTCTGCAGTCACTGGTTCACACCAGTAGTGTGGCGCAGATTCTAGAGTCAAGTATTCTGGGGTTTGTGCCATTTTGTAGCTGTGTGCCCTTGGACAAGTTACTACCCTCTCTGTGCCCCAGTTTCCTGGTACTTGGTACTTGGCCCTGGGTACTGTGTAAATGGGAATTATTATTTTTGTTTTTGCCTGACTGAGCTATCTGAAGGTGGGAGCATCCACACACACAGTTACTGGTCATGACAGGCTTTCATTGGAAATTGTAGAAGGACCACAGGTCTAGCCTGATTTTATGACTTCAAGAAGCAACATGGTCCACTTATATGAAGAGGCATGGAAATGCCATGTGTCTTCTGGGTGCTAAATCCAACCAAGGGGCTGGCCAGAGAGTAGAGTTTAGGCTTTGCAGGCCACACAAGGCCTCTGTAACACAGTCTTTTTTTCTAACAATTTTTTTTTAAAACATAAAACCATCCTTAGCTCACAGGCCATACAAAAACAGGCCGCAGGAAATCCAGCATATTGGCCATAGTTTGCCAACCCCTGATCTCATCTATTGCTATTCATTCCTATTTCCATCACTTTATTTGCTAATCAACTAGTGGCTTTATTCTCTGGCAATAGAAACCATCTAAAAGATCATCTGTACTTAAAAGACCTGGACTCCAATTCCTTCAACTAGGGTGATACTGAATGGCCAGATGTGATATGACCATGCCCAAACGTCAGAGTGACAGCTGGGATGTCAAGCACTCATCTGTAGGCCAGGCAGTGTTCCAAGTACCTCACATGTGCTGAGTTATTAAATCTTTGGTCCACGGTGCTCTTCACGCAACCCTCTGCTGAAATAAGATGCCAAGTCTCAATGCTTCCTTTTCTTATTTAAACAATACAACCACCTGTGGATAAATATTCTCATGCCCATTTTTTACAGACAGGAAAAAAAGCATTATTCTCATCTTTTCTGATCCTCTCTTCACTTCTCAGGGCTGAGTTTAAGAATACAGAAACTGGGGAAATACACGTAGATTAATCAGAACTCTGCCACTATTATGTTGTGCGATCTCAGGCAGGCCACACATCCCCGATGTTATTTTCCTCATCTTTAAAATGGTATCAACAACATTCCCGCTACTGACTTCCTGACAAGGCTACTGTGAGGATCCAGGACTAATACATGGTTTCCATATTTTAAAAAAAAAAAAAAAGTGTGCACAGTCCGAGACATATATATACATGTCACCCAAAAGCCCTCTAGTCTTCAGGTCATCCTTGTGATTCAAGCTCAGTTTACCACAAGGCCCCAAACTCCTAGGTTTGAATTCAAGCTCAGGTCTCTCACTAGTGACCTTGAATAGGTCACCTCAACTCTTAAAGCCTCTTCAGCGCATAGTCGATATACATGCGTCCAACCTTTCGTGGTGTCAGGCACTGTCCTAGGCATTAGCTTCTCCTGGAGCTTAATATGAACTTCGGCTTTGGGAAGAAAGCTAGAATCTGCGGGTACGGTTCAAGCACAATGCGCCTGGCTCGCGGCGGGGTCGAGAGCAGCTATTCCTTAATGGGGAGCGGGAGAGTGTCCCGAAGCGGCGCACTCCCAAGCCCGGAGGCGCGTTGCTCCACTGCCGACACCCTCCCCACCGCAGCCCGGCGGCGTGGCCCAGAGAGCAGAGAAGGGATGAACGGCGCAGGACCCTGGACAAACGGTCCAGTGCGACTTGAGTAGGGTCGCGGCGAAAACCCTGAACAAAATGTAGGTGGCTCCACAGCTCCCTCCCTTCCTAGTGCGTCTCTGAGCCCCGACCCTGGACCCCAGCTTCTGCCTCCAACTTAGCTGCCCTAACTGAGTCCGGTACTAACCGACTGACGCCATCTTGGAGTCCGGGGTGTCCGCTCTGCCGAGCCGCGCGACGACTGCTGGGTAGGGAGCAAGTGCTCCGGTGTCGCGAGAAGCAGAGGCTCACGGGAAGCAGGTTGCAATTGATACTCAGCTGGGGCTGCAAGTGCGCCATGGGGTGAAGGTCGAAGTCTCGGAGGGCCAATCCCCGGGACCGCACAGTTGGGGCGGGGGCAGCGTGTGTAGGGCTCAGACGGGGTTCCCCATCCTAGGACGGAGGAGACTGGAAGGGATCAAAAATTGGGAAGTGAGGAGAAAAGAGCATCCTGGCTTTCTTACTCTGTCACCTAAATTTGTTGTAAAAAGTGACAGAGCCATATCAAGATCCTTCCTCCCAAGTGTGCTGAATTGGAGGTAATGACCAGCCACCAGGAAAAGCTGTGTCCAGGCTTAGGTTCCAAATAGGTTTGATTCAAGAGTACTTATATGTGTCCAACACTGGGCTGGGCTCTTAAGTACAGAGATATGCAAGATCCTAGGGGTTCACAGCTCCAGCCCTTCTTTCTGCCACTTCTTTTCCTGGCACAGTGATGCCTGACCACCATCTTGTTTTTTGTGGAAAAGCTACATTAACCATTTCTGGTTAAGCAATTCTGACTCCAGGGAGACACTTTGATTCTCTGAATCTCAGTTTCCTTCTCTGTAAAATAGGGATGTAATGTTTACCTGGCATCCTTGTTGTGGGAATGAAAATAAACAATGTATGTGAAAATAAAGGATTTAGAACTGAGTGGATAGTAGGAATAGAACCAGTAAACTGACAGCTTTATCAGGAAAGTGACTTCAGGGTGTTATCAAACTCATATTTTATCAGCCATTTTATTCATTCACTAAACACATACTGGTATATACTGGGCACTAGGGACATAAAAATCAGTCAGACATGGTCTCTGAGCTCTAGAATCTCTGGTATTGTTCAGGAGACAAGTGTGTAGACAGATGTGAGCACAGTGATAGATGTGTGCACAGCAGGGGGCCATGGACTACTTAGTGAGGAAGAGGTCTGGGGGGACTTCAGAGAAGAGGAGCTTATCTGGGTTGGTTTTTGAAAAAATTAAGAGGTGGTTGTTAAGTGTCGAAGGGCACACCAGGCACCAGGAACTGCAAAGGCATAGAGGGATAGTACTGCATGGTGGGTTTGGGTCAGAATGGTGCCAGTTGGGGAGTTAGTGTTTAATGGGTACAGACGTTTTGTTTGGGATGATGAAAACATTCTGGAAATGGATAGTGGTGATGGTTGTACAACAACGTGATTGTACACCTAAAATGGTAAATTTTATATTATGTAAATTTTACCACAATAAAAAAATAAAAAGTGATGGAGATAACAGATGAGTCTGGAGAGGTTAAGCAAGGTTCAGAACACAAAATACTGTGAATGCTAGGTGAAGAGTCAAGTTTGTCCTAAGGGCAATAGAAAGCCATTGAGGGTTTAAGAAAAAGAATGGCTTTATCAGATTTACATACTAGAACAATAACCCAGGCTGCTGGATAGAGAATAGGTGGGGGAGGGGTAGGACTGGAAGCTACAGGCCAGCTCGCAGGGGTCACAGCTCTGTAGGATTCTCCTGTCAGGAGTATTGAGTGCTACTCTGTGCCAGGCACTGTTCCAAACACTGAAGATCCTGGGAAAACAAAGCAAATAAAAATCCCTGCCATTGTGGAGTATTCGTTCCTGAGAGAGAGGGACAATAAACACACAAGTGAAATCTATAGTCAGGATGGGCTAGATTTCGTTAGAATAGAAAAACACCCAGGGTTTTTTAAATCCCAGGGATTTAAAAAAACAAAAAACAGGTTNCTGATGCCACCTGTGTTCATTGGTCAAGCAGCTCTTCATGCATCCCGTGCTGGTGCCCATTCTGGCCAGTCCCTCCCACTCAGGGCATCATTCATAGTGAAGCACCCCAGCCTTAGATGGGCAGTTCAGTGACCCACTTCGGGATAGTGGCATTTGTTTTCGAGAACTGAGACACTAAGAAAAGCCTCCTAGGGCAGAAGAAATGTGTCATGTCACATTCTCCAGCCCCTCCAACTCACTCCCAATGCAGTCTCAAGTGATTGTTTTTTAGAAAGTTGCAGACTGGTCACTGCAGATTCTCTCTCACAATCATTGACTTGTCTTGTAATTGGAAGTGAAGCCCTACTTAGCTCTCTGCTCCCATTTCTGCGGGTACAGTTAACCCAAGAAAGATTTTTTTTTTTTTTGCATCCCAGTAATATCACCTGCCTGAATTTGGCTGCTCGGGGTCTCCCTAACCTGAGAGCTTCCTGCAGCTTCTTCATGCAGGTAAGGAGCAGGGCAGAGGCAGCCTGTATGCAAGGGGGGTCCTTTGAGCTCTGTGGGTCTAATAAAAAATGTGTACTGGTGGTGTCATTATGAAAGACATGCTGTGTGAAGAAGCACATCAGAAAGTCTAGAATATTGCCTACTGTCAATACAGCCTACAGGAGTTGGGGTCCAAAACAGGTAACCCCAAAATACCCCACAATGAGATATTGATTACTTTGAATTAAAGCTATTTGACCAGCAACTGGTGCCAGAGGTTTCCCTCTCTTGTCTCCTCGAATGCAGGAAATAAATCTCCCATGTGAAAGATGTCCTCCTCACACCTGGAAGACGCCCCTTATCACCAGAGTTAGCTCAGACCCAAATAGCCTGGGTAGTCAAATCTTGTTGCCTCTTTTCTAATTTATTATTTTGTTTAAATTTGTCACTAACACCCAAACCTTGCTTAGATTCCTTTCTAATGAGCACTACCTTTCTTTGTCCTGTCAACTTCTGACAAATTTATTGTTTCTTTGTCTAAAAAGCATGAAAAGGTGCCTGAATAGATCATTTCTTTGAGCCTCATTTTGTGATCTGAACATCATATTGAGGTTCTCCCATGGGCATGTATTAAATTGGTTTTATTCCTGCAAATCTAACCTTGTGTCAATTTTATTATTTTATTACTAGTCCAGCCCTAAGAACTAAAGAAGGGTGGAATCCCCCTCCCCAATAACATGAAAGCTATTGGCGGAGAATACACACACACACACACACACACACACACAGAGTCACTTACACAAACACACAAAAAACTTCTTTCTCTCTGAAGCCTGAGGAAGTCACTTCTGTGTCTCAGGAGCTACTTCTATCCAAAAGCTGGTGAGATGGAATGGGACATCAGAGAAGTATACTCCCAGGAGGCCATGTTGCAAATGACCTTCCTACCTAGGCATCCTGCCTTCTGTGACCATCATGGGCTTTTTGGAGCTGGACTCTGGGGGGAAGGAGCATGCAGGATCCCATCTAGAGCTTCAACAGAGGGTGACTCTCAGGGACTCCAAGCATCTACACTGGAACTGGAGAGAGGGGAGGGAGGAAGGGACACGCCATCTTCACTTCAGCCATTATAGCCCTGATTCACTGGGAAGTCCTACACACTGGAATTAATCCCTTCATTTACACACGGGAAAAATGAAGGACTGTACCATGTTCATCCTGGGAGTCAGAAATTTGATCTGGTTTCCATCTCAGTCCTGCTCAGGGTCTAAGCCCAAGCTAACAGTGAAAGTAGAAAATCAGTCCCTTTTTTCTACCCCTGGGAGCTCGCTATCAAATGGATATGGAAACCTGAGGAGATGGAGTAAGAAAGTCCAAAACCCCGACTCCCTCTGAGCTGTGGCCAGGAGTAGGACACAGTGTAGGCACAAATTATTGATGGTGGCTGCTTTCCTATATGTGCTGGGACTTGTGTGGCCAAGGACAAGTTCCCCGCTCTGGTCCTGTAATAGATTCCCAATACTGACACCAATTACAATGTGTTGGGGTTTTTCTTCACACCACCAAGCAATGCTCTGATACCAGCTGGGTGTCCTACAATTCAACTCAATTCTGACACTATCTACCTAGAGATCGTGTCAGATCCCACAGGTTATGGCTCAGTCCTACAAGACTGACACACACACACACACACACACACACACACACACACAGACACACACACACTTCAGATGCCAATCCCAAATCCAGATTGTCACCAACCGGCTATAGATAGGAGGTTCCAACCACCCCTTCCTCGGGTTCAATCAATTTGCTAAACAACTCACAAAACCCAGAAACATTTTATGTTCTAGATTATAAAAGGATATAACTTTGAAACAGCCAAATGGAATAGAGATGCACAGAGCAAGGTGAGGAGAAAGGGCTCAGAGCATCCATATTCTCACTGAGTGGGCCACTCTCCTAGCGCTTCCAAGAGTTCACCAACCTGTTAGCTCTCCAAATGTTATCCTTTTGGGTTTTTATGGAGGCTTTATTACATAGGCATGGTTGGGAGAACACTGTAACCTTGGGGCCTACAAGCATCTCCACATCAAACAGGAAAAGGGTTTTCTTTTACAGGGACGGGTAAGCAAGGTTAGCAGGAACTTTGTGAGGGAGAAGGGCAATCAGTCTGGTGAGCAGGCAGCATGATGGGTGGGGGGGTTAACAGGAAATGAACTGTTTAGGGGGATGTTCTGCACCCAGCTGCTGTAGGGCTTGGGCAAGTCAAAGTTCAAGGGCATGTGGGGAGGAGAGCAGCCTGACTAGTGTGGTTAAGCCAAAGTTCAGTGGGTAAGTAGGTGGCAATCGTGAACACTTGGTCACCAGAAATCAATCAGTTAATATTTCTCTAGAGGGGCCAGCTGAGTGGCGCACTGGTTAAGAGCTGGCTTGGGATGCCAGCTCTGAGCATCAGGGCCTCGGTTCAGATCCCACATGAGGGCCAGTGACACTGCCCTCTATAGCTAAGATGGTGAGCAGCAGCTCAACCTGGAGCTGGGCTGCCATGAGTCGCTGGTGACGACGTAGGCTGCAGCCCCTGCTGCAGTGGGCTGCCATAAGCTACCGTGTATGGCCGGCAGCCAGCATGAGTGGTTGGCGGCCGGTGTGAGCTGCCAAGAGCCGCCATGAGTGGCTGTCCAGAGNAATATATAAAGTTATAATTTTTATAATATATCTTATATATATATATCAACTTGTATGTAATAATAAGACAAAAACAATATGTAGACCAACTCAAATAGAATAATAACATTATC